TGGTTTCATTCTGACTCAGGCCCTGGGCTGAGCATGGAGATTAGACTGCTGTACTTTAGCTGTGGCCTCTGCTTACACTGTGTCAGAACCGCCACCGCTTCCCATGCCCCTGTGGAAGTAGAAGCCCAGGCGCATGTCGTCAGTGCCACCCAAGGAAGTTGGCTGTGGTTCCGGGAAGGCAGCAGGTGCCTGCGGTTAGCATGGCCCAGAGGCGATCTTAATGTCACAGGATTCTGGACAGAAGATTCGTGGTCACCAGGATCCTTGGCTGTTCGCCTCACAGGGCCACAGATTGCCTTGATGATCAGATGAACGTGGTTGAACTCCTTCAGAAAAGGCACCTTCTCTAAATGGTATGGACCGTGTCAGGAAATGTCTCAGATAGCCCAAAACCCTCTCACGTAGACCAGCCTTTTCCTTCGTTACACATGAGGACATGGAGGCCCAACGTAGGTGCAGGGACTTACCCCAGGTGGCATTCTGAAAAGGAACCTGAAATAAAAAACTCAACTCCCCTGATTCCTAATGTTAGGGCATATTAGTCGGTACTGGGAAGTTGTCACTCTATCTTGAGGGTCGAAATCCTAGCCTCTGGTACCCGTCACCCTGCCTCTTGCAAATGTAGTCAAGTTAAGATGAGGTTGTACTTGAGTAGAGTGGGCCCTACATCCAATGATGGTGCCTTTCTAAGGAGAGAGAGATTTGAAGACACACAAGGACACAAGAAGAAGGCCATTTCAAGACGGTATTAGACATTAGAGGGATGTCTACACCCCAGGGAATGCGAAGGATTGCTAGCAACCACCAGAATTTAGGAAGATGGAAGGATTGTTTCCTAGAGCCTTCAGGAGTGCATCACCTTGCCCACAGGTAGGTTTCATGATTCTAGCCTCCAGAAATGTGAAAGGGTAAATCCTATTGTTTTAAGTAACCACACTGGGAGGCCCGAGGAATCTGATGTTGGTGTTGTTAGGAGCTGTCAAACTGGCCCAGCTCGTGCTGACTGTATGGTGACCAAAATGAAATGTTGACTGGTCTTGGGATGTTTGGGTCCATTGTCGATTAGGCAATGAACTCAGCATATATTAGGAAGTGTGTGAAGGTAGGATGTTTGCAACCAAGGCACTCGCACTCAGGCTCAGGAAAAGACACTCCCATCAATTAGTAAGCAATTCTCCTGCTATGGATTCCTTTTGGGAAGTAGAAGCTAATGCCTTCCATTAAGTCAGCAGGCACTTGAGCATCTCCTAAAGTCTCAACGTCTTTAACTGTTTACTTGAAATGAGGGTGCTTTGGAACCTCATGCCTGAGAAGGATGGTCCTCAAAGGGTGTGTGTGTGTGTGTGTGTGTGTGTGTGTGTGTGTGTGTGTGTGACATTGCTCAGGTAGTGGAAGCCCTGTCCTGAAACATTTACCGCAAGGATCTAGTAAGGCACTGGCTCCCCTTGGTTGGTGATTTACAGGCATCAACATGAGAATTAAGCGTCGTCTTAACAAAGGAGACCAGATTTGGGGCTGAATCTAAGTAGATTCTGCTTTAGGCTGTTCTCTGTCCCTTTGGGGAGGCCATAGAGACAACCACTCAGGACACACGTCGTATGAATAACAAGCGGAAAGCCAGGTTCAGACTCATCTTAATAGAAAGCACTTTTGACCGAAACTTATCTTCTTGGTGGAGCCTTTTTTTACTGGAGGAAACTGGCTGAAAAGTTCTACTGAAAACCAGGAAGAGTAATATTACCCTCAATAATTTTGTTGTGATGATTAAATGTGGTAGTACCCAGTAGCGTATTTAAACTCAAACCAAACTCACCACCATCAAATAGATGCCTAATGAGAGTGACCCTAGAGGACAGGGTAAAACTGTCCCTGTGCATTTCTGAGACTGTCACTCTTTACAGGAATAGGAAGCCTCATCTTTCTCCCTCAGAGCAGCTGGTGGTTTTGAACTGCTGACCTTGCAGTTAACTAGCAGCCCAATACATAATCATCACTATACCACCTGGGCTCCTCAATGGCACCTAGATAATACTCATTATACCATAGCCTATCTGTAGAAGTTTTTGTTATCTACTTATTAATTGATTTCTATATATTCAGGTTTTTATGTGTTCACACTATTTCTTACTTCTGGGATGATCATCTTCCCAACATTATCCCCTCTTGTCCTCAACCTCTTCTTTCCTTGAGATTTCTGGCTCTTCTATAAAGGCACTCCATTCTCTGGAGTCAACAACACTTAAGGCTCCTCCCTCTATTTTGTTTTGCTTCCTTAATAAAGCACGTGTTTTTCTTCTCTTGCCGCACCCTTAAAAGAGACTCACACAAGCACCCATGGTCCAGTTTCATTCCACCGATTTTTATTCTGCCTGGATTTTGCATGCCTCTCCCTCTGATGGTGAGCTTCGTTCTGGGCCCTCCTCTGGGTCAGCACTTTGCACACAATGGGCATATCATTCAAAGCCCAATCAGGAGCTCAAAACCACACAACAACCTCAATAGGGGGAGTTGAATATAAAGATTTATTAACAATGAGAGTAGAATAGCTGTGATGATGACAACTCTAAGGGTGTCTTGAGGTTAAGGGGGAGTCCCCCGGGGAAGGGCGAACACTGTGTCTGAACCCTAGACTTCTTTGGATGGGGTCTGCTTATACCAGATGGTGGGAAGTTCGTAGGGTTACCTGGGCCAGAACTAAGGAGCCCTCATGGTGCTGTGGGTGAGGTGCTGGGCAACTGACCCCAAAGTCAGAGCTTCCAACCCACCAGCCCCTCCTCGGGAGGAAGATGAGGCTGTCTGCTCCCATAAAGACCTACAGTCTGGGAAACCCTGTCCAGGGGTCACTGTGAGTTGTAATGGACTTGATGGCAGTGGACCAGAGCTGGCTCCATCACCGCCCTCTGGATGCAGGCATGCAGACTGGCAGGCAGATGTGTGGAGGGAGTGGGAGCACCATTACCAGGGCAAGACCTGGAGTGTACAGTGCCTGTGTCCCAGCTGTGAGGTCACCAAGGGACAACACGTGTTGGACATGCTGCTCGGGCCGAGCACCTCTGACTGCCCAGGGACAGACACTGCAGCCAGAGCAGGAAATGCCCCTCGGAACCGGGAGGAGAGGCCCCTTCTTCCTGCTGAGTTCCTCCAAATGCCCTCTACTGACAAGGCTTGGGATCGTGCTTACTGCACAGGATAAATGGGTGCAGTCCATTATCATTGGAGAGTGAAATCAGAGCTGAGAGGCAATCATTTGATAAATGGTACAAAGGCTGATCAGCAATGCTTGAACTCAATTAGGCAAAGCCCAAAGAGTGTCTCCATAGAAAAACCCAAATCCACTGCCCCCTTGCAAAACCAAAACCCATTACCATCCAGTCAATTCCAGTTCCTAATGACCCTAAAGGACAGAGTAAAACTGCCCCATAGTGTTTCCAAGACTGGACGTCTTTATGGAAACAGACCACTTGCTACATTTCTCCCTCGGAGTGGCTGGTGGGTTCGAACCGCCAGCCTGATGGTTAGCAGCCAAGCGTTTAACCACGTGCCACCAAGGCTCCTTAAACCTCTTTAAGCCCTTTTTAATTTCCCTTTCTCTTTTTAAAACATTTTTTGGGTTGGTTTTTAAAAAAATCATTTTATTGGGGGCTCGTACAACTCTTATCACAATCCATACATACATCCACTGTGTCAATCATATTTGTACATTTGTTGCCATCATCATTCTCAAAACATTTTCTTTCTACTTGAGCCCCTGGCATCAGCTCCTCGGTTTTCCCGTCCCTCCCCGCCCCCCTCCCTTATGAGCCCTTGATAATTTATAAATTATTATTTTGTCATGTCTTACCATGACCAATGTCTCCCTTCACCCACTTTCCTGTTGTCTGTCCTCCAGGGAGAAAGTTATACGTAGATCCTTGTGATTGGTTCCCCCTTTCTCCCCCACCTTCCCCTTACTCTCCTGGTATCACTACTCTCAATATTGGTCCTGAGTGGAGGCAGTGTTCTGGGGTGCCCGCCACCCTCTTCGTTCTCTTCCAGAGAGCCAGCTGATGATCCCCTACAGGAACGAGCTAAACCGTGAGATGCGGATACAGTTCAAACCTCTGAGGGCCGAAATGGCTTTCCCAGACTTCTCTTCCCCAGAAGGCATCCTTGTACTTCAGAAGGACAGCGACAGTTGTCTCCGCAGACTGGACAAAGCAAACTGGTGACGGGAGGAACGAGCGTCATCTCTCCACCAGAACTTGCGTCTGACACGGTTTTGCTGGCACTGAACCAGCGGGATCCGGAATAGACTGGCACCAAAAAACCCTGCCAGCATCTTTCCAAACTATAATCTTATTCTCCAGCCGGGCACCTAGGAAACCTGGCTCTGCAGTGGTCAGGCACAGCACAGGCTTCTCCCGGGAGCGGGACTGTGAACCCTGGTCACTTGCGTGCCATCTGCCTTTCTGCCACGCACGTGTATCGTCTGCGAAGTAAAAGGCATGCCAGCCACGGCAGGGGGGGACCAGACTGGTCAAGTGGCCTTCTGGTGTAGGTAGGGGTCGCCGTGAGTGAGAAAGGACTTGGTAGCACTTGACGACCACACCCAAGTGTGTTTCATGACACCTCCCCCCCAAAAAGGCGTGTTCTTCAGGGCTTTTAGCTTACTCTCTTTCCAGCCTCTTCCTCCTCTTCAGTTAACGGCCAAAAACCAACCGGACTTCATTTTGAGAAGAGATTTGGGGGGTGTAAGAGATTTCTTTCTCCTCCAAGTTTCTGAAAGGCAGCCCACGTTGTCCTCTGCCCCTCACCTACCTGCCTCCGAGGCAACAAACCTAAGTGATGAAGAAGGGCCTTTGATCCTTCCAGCAGGTTCTGCGGCAGGCTGGTTGCACCGGCCTGCGCAGCGGTGCTCCATGGGAGGCTGCTCGGCCTCAGGCACATCTCTGCCCACCCCAGGCGCCTCGGGGCTCTGCCTGGTATCCCCCACCTTTGATATGCGCCTCTGTTCTTTTCAGATTTTCGACAATGAGGCCAAAGACGTGGACCGAGAAGTTTGCTTCATTGACATTGCCTGCGATGACATTCCCGAGCGCTACTACAAGGAGTCCGAGGTAAAGCCATGGACGGGGTGGTGGTTAGCGCGTCCCATCTGCCTGGAGCCTTCTCCTCCGGCACGCTCCATGCTGCAGGCCTCCGAGTGACTGTCCTTTCTCCCGGGGCATCTCTCCTGGCCCCAGGAAATGAGTTTCCCTCTCACCGCCTCTCCCTGCTCACTCCTCTGGCCCTTCTGACCTTTCGCTGCACAGTTAGCTGGGCGATGGTTTCCGGCCCTGCCAGATGGGAAGCACCTGGAGGCGAGAGATGCTCCCTGTCCCTTGTCCTCACTCCTATGAGGTGGGCTTCAAAACGTGCGGGGTCACATGAGTTCGGAGAGAAGGGTTTTTTGGTTTTTTTGAGCTCCATCCTTGTCCTGGCTTGTCGGTGACAGGTGGGTGGTATCAGGAAACAGTTGCCTCTCATTTCTTGGGTCAATTCCTGGCCCAGGGACAGACAGAGGCATGGACAGGTCAGCAAGTGGTCCCATGAAGTATGAGGCAAACATCCTCAGATGTCTGTGTTGGTGACAAAACACTTTCAGGTGGCGGCTCTTGGGGACACAAAAACAGAGGGAACCGCCTACTGGTTTCTTCGTTCGTGGTCCACATTTGCCCCAAGACATGTCACAAAATCAGGAGGGACGTCCCCAGCCAACAATCAGGCAGACCCACCGCCGGCACGGCGAGAACAAAAATAAAAATAAACTCACTGCCGCCGAGTCGATGTGGTCTCATAGCAACCCGATTGGGCAGGGTAGCATTGCCCCTGTGAGTTCTGAGATGCTAACTCTTTATGGGACTAGAAAACCCCTGCTTTCCCCTGGCAGCCGCCGGTGGTTGCAAAGTGCTAGGTTTGCGCTGAGCCGCCCGACGTAGAACCGTTACCTGATGCCACCAGGGCTCAGTGCAGACTTCTCTGCCTTCCTGGAAATGTCTCACATTCGTAGACCGGGGGTTCCCAAAGGAGGCAGGATAACAGGCAACAGCCCAACCACCCTGGAGCCACAGAAGGGACTCCTCAGAGCGAGACGCAGGAAGGCCGGGCTGTCCTCACAAAAGCCCGGGCGTGGTTGGCTGCAGGGTGCAGCTGATGGCATTCAGAGCTCATCCTTCCTGAGGGCCACATCCGCCTCCCCCTGGCACACAGGCCTGCCACCAGGCAGCCACTTGGATGCCAAGATCAAGTCAGACTTTCCGATCCAAACTGCAGGCAACAAAGCAAAACTCCAGACCACCCAGGCATCTAGTTTGTTGGTGGAAGGGCGAACTCCGTTCCTAAGGGGTTTATTTATTGGGCCCCAAGTCGGCCTCCGTGAATCCGAGGGCCGGGTCTCAAGGTCCATGTGCTACAGCTCAAGGACAGTCTGGGGCCCTGACTCCAAACATACTGTGACTACCCGTGTGTTGCTAAACAACAAAAATAGCCCTGCATCTGTTGTCGTTTGCTAGGCTGGAACGTTCTTTCCAAGCAGGTCGCCCAAGTTCTGTCAGCAGCCATGGATAAAATACTTAATGGGAACTACGTGATGCCTTGCTCCAAGGGGACTCTGAAAGGTCAAGCCGAGGCCAGCGACGGCCTCCATGGGGGACCCAACCCCGCCGAGGAGGGGGGCTCGAAAATGTATTCTCAGCCCAGGACAGGGAAAGGCCCTTGGTGTTGTGAAAGAAAGGCTTTGTGCCAAGCAGCGCCCACAGTGTCAGCCTCTACTCGGCGTGCCACGATGGAATGAGTTCTCGTAGCTGGACCTCAGAGAGAGAGCGCAAATGCAGGCTCTGACCTTCCAGGGCGGGCAGCTGGGGAGCTAGACTTGTGCAGAGATCTGACCGAGTATGCACGGAGCCAGAGACGCTGGCTCATCTCCATCCAGAACCCTGGATTTGCCCCCAGAGGCATCCTGCCTGTCCCCGAGCCTCACGGAGAAAAACAAACCAAATACTGCCATCGGGTTGATTCTGCTTCACAGCGACCCTATAGAGCTGCCCCTGTGGGTTTCTGTGCCTCTTGGTCTTCACAGGAGGAGAAAGCCTCATCTTTCTCCCGAGGAGCAGCTGGTAGGTTCGAACTGCTGACCTTGAGATCAGTAGCCCCACGAATTGGTAACCCACAAGGCCACCAGGGCTCCTTCCTAGAACCTCAGGGCTGCTGTAATGGGTGGGGAAGAACAGGGCCCGGAGAGCCCCACCCGCACACTCTGCGCCCAGTACTGCGTCCCCCAGGCTCTGCCCACCTGCGTTCCAGTAGAACGCTCTCCACCCTCCCAAGCTCTGGCTCTCAAAGTCGGGGCACAAGCGATCACTGTTAGCCTAAAGGTTGGTGGTTCAAACCCACGGAGCAGCTCTGCAGAAGGGAAGCCTGGCACACTGCTTCTGTGAGAGATAGCAGCCAAGGAAATCACAGGAAGCAGTTCTACTCCGTACCCCACGGCGTCTTCCTAAGTGAGAATTAACCCCACAGTGGAGTTTTCCCCTGTTAAACCCTGGTAGCTAGACCACAAAGGATGAGAGACGTCACTGGGAGCCTGTAGTGACGTCTTAGAAGAGGTGCACCCCGTGGGACTCTCTTGTGATCCCAGCCCCACCCACCCACCCCGAATTTGGCTGCAAACATCCGGACAGCCGTCTGAGCCCCTCGGAAGGGAAGGGGCGAGGGTCCGAGGTATGTGTTTCTCGTGACAGATGGAGCCAGGGACCACGAATTCAAGAAACTGCCAGTTCAGAAGGGAGGCCATTTGCAAATATGTTTCTCTTCCGCACGCTGTAAATAATTAACACCCCTGCTCCCAGCCACAGCCTTTCCTTCTCAAAGCAAGTCTGACCTTGTCGTTCTCCGCTTATAACCCCTCCCTGGCCGGGATGGAGCCCCTGCCTCCCAGCCCTGCCCCGTTCCCGTTCCCGATTCCACTCCAGCGAGTGGCTCAGATGGCTCCTCCTCATGGGAGGCTTTCCTGAGCGTCTGACTTCCCCATCCTCAGTCAACAAAGATCAGTGCTCCAGCTCCCTCACCTTTAGCTCTGGTGGTGTAGTGGGTTGCCAATTGGTCTACTAACCGCAAGGTCAGCAGTTTGAAACCACCAGTTACTCCGAGGAAGAAAGATGAGACTTTGTTCCCATAAAGACTTATAGTCCTGGACACCCACAGGGCCAGGTCTACCCGGCTCTGTAGGCTTGCTGTGAGTCAGAAGCCACTCAATGGTGGTGAGTTTGGTTGTAGTTTGAATGGACATTATAACTTGAAGGCAGTGGGTTTGATTTGTTTTTCTTCAAATTTAGCACCACACCTCAGCCGCCAGGACAGGGCCGGCCCATAACAGATGCCCACTAGACAGCTGTTGCGGGAAGGTGAGGGCTTGTTCCTGTCTTCAGTGAGCAGGGAGCCCTATCAGAGCAGACAGCTGTGAATCAGACCTGCTTGCATTTCTTTCTTACTTTTTTAAATCTCTGAAGCACACAGCTTTATGAGTGAGAGCTTCCAGTTCGTCTTTGGACCTCCGCTGCGTCGTCGGCATGGTGATACGAGCCCACTCTGTGTGGAGGCCTGGTGGACTGAGTCTGTTCTGAGATGTTTGCTGCTTCTGAATTGAGACAGGACTATCTGGGTCACCCCTGTCCACTCAGCTCCTATCACACTCACTGCCATCCGGGCCGACGAGGGGGTGGGAGGCACTGTCTCCTGGATCTCCTCAGAAACCTCAGCGCCACACCGGCACAAGTGCCCCTTTCATTACGGTGACCAGAGCTGGGAATTTTCCACTAGGTGCCCTTTGCTTGGCGGTCCTTGAGCGGCTGCTGACCAGGGATTCAGAAGGACACCGTGGGGACTCGGGATCAGCTGATAGCTCCGTGCACCCATCCCTCTCCATAGCCTCATTTTGTAGTGCTGCTGGCGCCTACTCATATGAAGGGCCTGAGTTCAGGTCCCAGGAGCCTCTTAGCCGTGAGTTCTGTTCATGTGTCCACAGGAGGACTCTGCAGGGCAGTGCTGTGTTGCAGAGAGAGAGAGAGAGAAAGAAGAGGAAGAAGAAGAAGAAATCGGTGTGATCATTCCAGCAGAGAGAGGGCCTCCATTCGTTTCCACACAGACCCACCAAGGTCCTGGCCCCACAGAGTATCAAAAAGTCCTCCACCCTGAGTCACCCGGCCATCGTTCGTCATTTGTTTGTGCCACCAACGCAGCAGGGAGGGGGGAGGGGGGCCAAAATCGGAGCAGGTTGAGTCTGTTATCTGGTTGGTATGTGAGTTCTTCTGCCAAGACTTCCATCCCAACTCTTTGATGCTCGGCCAAGATTTCAAGGTGAAGCGTCCTGCCCAGGAACAAGGAACTAAGGCACACATGCTAGGTTATAGCTTGCCTGTGGAGTGACAGGCAGTGAGTCTGAACCCACAAAGCTGAACTGGCCGTTCTGGGACATTAGCACGCATCGCCACGCCCAGCCTGCAGGACGAGTCCAGCCTGAAGGCTCTCTGAAAGTCAAGTCCAGACAGATCTAACCTGGAGACCTTGGGCTTAGACCAACAGGAAAGTCCAGGGCTCATCCTGATGCAGGACAGTGGTCAGTGCGGTCTGGCTTCCAGGACAAGATGGAGTGAGCCAACAAGACGGCGCCCCAGTAGTGACCTCGTGGGTGATGTCACCATCAGCTCTCTCCCGGAGACATAGCTCTGACGTTCCCAGACGTGCCTTGAGTAGAAAGAGCGAAAAGGCAAACAGTGAAATGTGATTTTCTGGAGGAGGAAGTGTGGAAGTGGAGAATATTCTCTGCGTGGGTGCTTTCCCGGCTTCCATTTTCACCGATGAGAATGAAAAGCAGCAGAATCTCAGCCCTCCCCTCCTTCCCCACCCCCCTCGAATGTTTGGGTGCCTGGAGACATTTTTGGTGGCCACACTTGGAGGACACCGTGACTTCTGATGGGTAGAGACAGGGAGGCTGCTAAGCGCCCTGCAACGCATAGGGCAGCACCCGCCACAAAGAATTATCCACCCAAGATGTCAGTGGTGCCGAGGCTGAGAAACTGCT